ATAAATTGCTCACCAGTTTGTATAGCTATCTGCCTTCATTTCCCCATTCCACCTGCCAAGGAATTTTCCTAGCTTCTCTCTAACCTGCCTCAGGGCAAGCCCTCATCCAATACTGTCCTTATGAGAAGATATGATTAGGAGAGAGAACGGGCATGTTTACACACAGAGAAAACTTCGTAGGAAGACCTAAGAAGGAGATGACCATCTACCAAGAAGAAAGAAGAAAGGCATCAGAATAAAACCAGCCCTGCTGACACCTTGGCCTTGGACTTCCAGCCTCCAAAATGTGAGGAAGTCACATGCTGTGGTGTCAGGCACCCAGTATGTAGCATTTGTTGTGAGGGCCCCAGCCAACTTCTACACCAGGGTGGCAGCCTTCACAATCCTGTTCACACAAGAAGTGGGTACCGAAAGAAGGGGTGCCCCTCGGCCTCTCAGGGGGGAAACAAAAACGTTGTCTGAGCAACAGCAACATCCCCAAAGTACATGAAACAAGTTCACTAATTTGGGAAATATGTGGCATGGTTTTCCTGGACCTGTAAGAGTGTGAACATTGAAAGATTCAGAGCACCCCACCCCAAGGCAAGCTGAGCCCCTACAGCACTGAGCCAGGGCCTCAAGAAGCTATGGAGCTTCTGCTGTTGCCCTCTTGTTGTGTTTAGAAGCCCAGTCTTTGGAGAATGGAAAGGCCCATAGAGCAGAGACGAGCCATCCCACACATGGACCATGACAGGGTGCTGACAGCCAGCACCAAACACCAGACATGTAAGTGAGGCCGCCTTAGACCATCCAAACCCCAGCCAAGATGCCAGGTGATTGCAACTTCACTCGTGAACCCAGGTGAGACTAACAGAAACCGCTCAGCTGAGTCCAGCCCAAATCGCTGACCTACAGAATCAAGAGTAAATAAAATAGTTGCTTTAAGCTATTACCGTTTAGGGTGATTTGTTATATAGCAATAGATAAATGGTACACTAAGCTAAAATCATATCTGCTCTTGAGACCACATGTGATGGCAGTTTTGGGACTCCCATAGCCACCTGCAAACCCTCGGTGCTGAGCCAGACAAAAATGAGAAGATGTAGAGCAGTGTGTGCTTTGGTTAATTGTGCATCTGTTTTCCCCGGGGGCTGGATGACCCCAGGGCCATACCTGGGTCTCCTGTGTTGTTCCCGTGTATTATGCTGAGTCAGTGTCTGATTTACAGCAGGCGTTCCACAGACATTTACTCAATTAGTGAAATGCCATGGGACTTGGTTACCAACATCTCCTGCTTCCTAACTGGTCTCCCTGCACCCAGACTTGCTCCCTCAAATCCCTCTTCCATCCTAGGAAGAAAACTTTCTAAAAAACAGATCTACCCTGGTTTGATCCCTGATCAGAATCTCTCTCTGGTTCTCCAGTTAAGTCCTGTCTCTTTGGAGTGAGTTATGGCGTCCAGCCAACCTTGACCGCTTTTGAATTGTCAGTCCCATTTTGTGTCACGCTCTTTCTTGCCGTCTAGGCCCATTCTCAGGGATTTCTTTCTGTTCCTTTAATGTACACACTCTCTGGTGCCTCTGGACCTTTACACATACTATGCCCTCTAGCTGAAACATCTAACCCCCCACCCCCTACCCCAAACCCCAATCTCCACGTGTGGCTAAATCCTACTCATGCTTCAGTTGTCCATTTTGCCTGGATTGAGCAATGACAAACAGTACGGATCTACACTGGTTCCTGGGCAGTGGCTAATGGTTTGGCTGGATGTTCAGGGGTCAGAAAGCACAGAGTTGAAGGATTTGTGATAAGGAAGACTTAGGAAGAGGTACTTAAATGGACTTTCAGAAATGAGCACAGAGAGTGAAGGTATTTCTGGCCCAAGTGAAGTCTCATCAAAGCGCATCATGGCAGGGGAGGCTCCGGATAGTCAGGTAGCCAGAAGGCACATCCAGGGGTCATCAGTCAGCCTCATTCTGCAGTCCCTCCAGGGCAGTGATTGGCAAACTCATCAGTTAACAGAGCCAAATATCCACAGTACAACAACTGAAATTTCTTTTGAGAGCCGATTTTTTTAAACTTAAACTATATAAGGTACGTTGTTATTAACTTAATTAGGTACTCCTAAACTGGCCTTTGCTAAAAACTCAAGGGGCCAAAGAGCTGCATGTGGCTCTCGAGCCACAGTTTGCGGACCACTGCTCTAGGGCTTGCTCAACACATTCTTGAGCAACGGGGTGATGGTGGGAAGAATGGACACTACTTATGGGTTCAACAATATAGACTTGCCTCACCAAGGCCTATCTGGCTAATGCCACTACTGTATGCCCAACTTACCATCCACAGAGACAATGTTGAATATCCAATATATCACCATTCAGAAGGGTTCCTCTGGCTAGCTGGTGCCAGGTTGATTCCACTGGATTCTTTCCAACATGGGGAGAGCAGTGATTTATCTTTATTAGCACAGCCAGAATATAAGTTTCCAGGAATCAATGGGAGGTAGTGATATATAATATATAATATATAATATATAATATCACTATTATTTCTCACACACAAAGCTCCACAGTATTAGTTTCTTATGGGTACTGGGACAAATTACTTGGTGACTTAACACAACAGAATATATTTTCTCACAGTTCTGGAGGCCAAAACTGCATCTGTTTCTCTGGGCCTAAATCAAGGTGTCAGCAGGGCTGCCCTCCCTAGATTCTGGGGGAGAATCTCTTGTCTTTTTCAGCTTCTGGCAGCTGCTGGCAACCCCTTGCTGTGGGCAGGTGACTCCTGTCTCTGCTTCTGTCTTCAGATTGCCTCCTCCTCTTCTGTGTATGAAATCTCCCTCAGTCTCTCTCTTAAGAAGACACTTGCAATTGGATTTCGGATTTACTGGTTAATCCAGGATAATCTCCTCATGTCAGGATCATTAACTTAATTACATTTGCAAAGATTTTTTTTTCCTTATAAGGTAACATTTTGTAAATTCTAGAGATTAGGACCTGATACCTTGGGTGGCTATTATTCAGGTTACTGCACCACTCACAAAACGTTTGCTTCTTGTGCCCACAATGTTGGGCTCTGCTAGTTTGGAGGCTTAGTTCTCAAGGGAAGGGAAGCAACACAGTTTTCATTGAATGGGAAGTTGAAACTTCTAACTGGCCATGTTGGGCTCCTCATGCTACTAAACCAGCAGGTAAAGAACGAATGAACTGATCTTCATTACCAAGGGGAGACTTGCTGCAGGAGGCTAAGGGTGAGGAGGAGGAGGAGGAGGGGAATCTCTACAGTCCCTCTTAGTGCTTCCATATACAGTAATAGAAGTTAATGAAAGCTATGGCAACCCAAATCATGCAGGGCCATTGAGGATTCAGAACCTTCAAGAATGACTATTTGGGTCACTTTACCATGTAAAGAACCCTAAGCAGCTGAGGTCCTGGCTGAGGGCAAAGGAAACATAGAAGGGCAGTAGGAAAAAAAAAAAAAGGTATATATGATCAACAGATATACAGTATAGATCAATCATGGTGTTGTGATGAGTTATCAGAAGGCCTGCATGCATATTTTTTTCCTTGCTTGGTGTGTGTGTATGTGTGTATGCGTGCATTATATATTAATTTATTTTTCCTCCCTTCTTCTTTTCCCCTATTGTTTTATATAGATTGTGATGGCTCCCTTAACAGCTTATTGTTCAATTGCAGGAGGGGAGAAATTAACATTATCCAAATGTGGATTCAACAACTCCTAGAGATGAATACATCTATTGGATGGTTGGACTGTGTTTTTCCCATTTTGGGGGGAGAGAGTTAGAGTGTCTTCATTTGTATGCAAGATAGTTTCATCTTATTAGGTGGAAGTTACTGTTGCTATATATAGATTCAAATATGTGTGGATTGATGTGTTTGGATGCTGAATGTCCAAAGGGGTGGACTGTAGCAGTTATTAAGCTACTAGAGGCCTGGTGCACAAAAATTCTTGCACTTGGGGTTGGGGGCGGGGGGGCGGTGTCTCTCAGCCCAGCCTGCATGCTCTCACAATCCAGGGTCTCTCAGATAGGGCCCAGTCCCATCACAGCATGGCTCTGGTTCCCCAGAGCCTGTGGGCTGGGGGAGACCCAGAAACCAGTCTGATGGCAGCATGGCTCCATTCCCACAACTCCCTCCACCGTGCCATGGATGGCTGGGACCCAGACTCACTCCCACCACGTTGGCCAGGACCTTAGCCTGGTGTTTGGTCATCTGTCCAGTCATTTAGGTCATGACGGACCCTGGCTTTTTATGTATTAGGATTGTCTTTTAGTGCCAAATGCAGGCTATATAGTCTGTCATACGAGGACTGGGACTCTTCAAACCACAGCTAACTCCTTTGTTAGCTGCCTTTGACAATAAGGGACACTACGGAAACCTGGAAGGCAGGAGAAGTGGATACCTCCTTCTTCCTTTGCTTACCAACCTTACCAGCCACAACCTGGTAGCAACAGTTGATTGCAACCTCCGGCATTTTTCTGCACTCCCAACCTTCACTGCATCCCCTAAGAGGGACTCTCACCCACCAGATAGCAACCCCTTTTCAGACCTCTGAGCCCAGCCCTTTAGGACGCATCCCCAATCAAGCTTGTGGGTTCTGCTAACCCCCACCTCTTCCCTGTGTAGCTGCTCTCGGAGCAATAACTGCTTCCTGCGGTGATTTTTCTGCATGTTTAACATTAGGAATGTGGCACCATTCTTCACTGAGGTACTGAGCCAAAAGAAAGTTAATTTGGAGGTGCGGTCAGCTTGCCTGAGAGGAAGGCTGAGACAGAAGACAGAATGCTGACGTGTTTTATTACCTGGATCTAACTATGCACGGAGCCAAATCCAGCCCTTGGATTTTGCATTATCTGGGCCAGTAAGTTTCATTTTTGCATGAGCTATAATGGATTGAGTTTTTTGTTGTTGTTACAATAGAGAGTCCTGACTAATCCAAATCACCTCGTCCCACCCCCAGGGCAGGTGTCCCACACCCCAGCCCACCAAACAGCCAAGGCCAACCACATCCTACAGAAAACTTTAATGAAACCAATAAGTTAATAAGTTAACAAAGTGAGGTACTTGCATATCTGAGAACCGGTTTGGTGGAGAACCTTGATTGCGGAAGGAGCGAGGGCTTCTTCCCCAGTCTCCTTAGTCAGAGGGTAATCTCATTCTCCTGCCCCTCTCCACAGCTCTGTCTCTGAGGGGCCAAGGGATGGCTCTCTGGGACAGTGCAGTGCAGGTGAGGTTAGCCAGGACAGGCTCCATCCAGGGCATGATGGTGACATGCAGAGGGCATGTTGGGCAAAGGCTGGGCACCATGGGGCTGAGCAAGATCCAACCCCAGCCCTGGCGCTGGTGCATGCAGGTCCCCAGTCATGGGGTGCAGGTGGCTGGGCCTGAGCCCCTTGTTCACTGGTACCCCGTAGAGGGTCCCCCTACATACCACTCTCTCGCCACCTGCAATAGCTTTGCAGAAGAGGGACAAAGAGTAGGGATACCAAAGAGATGCTGGGGGCCTGGAGTGGATGGGGGTGTATGCCAGTATAGGGGCTGCCAATTAAAGTGGACAGTGGGGTGTGGAAGGAGGGGAAACAGTGCATGTTAGTGCTGGATGCACAGTTGGTGCCTGAGCAATGGTGATTGCTAGGTGCATTATTTTTCTCTCTGGGAGTTACAGTGACTAAGAAGGCAGCAAGCCTAGATAGAAGCGGGCCTGATAACCATCTGGGGAGAAGCCTGGGGTCTTCCCAGTGCTATCCAGGCCCCAGAGGCCTAGGCCTGAGTTGTGCTGTAGGGACGTCGAGGCAGAGGCAGCAGTTAGGGCTCCTGGACCAGTGAGGAGTAGATCTTCTTGAGAAAGGAGAGCTTTCTGGTAAAGCTCTGGGGTGGGGCCTAGAGACGCCTGGGGTCACTTCAATGCTCCCTTCCTACCTGGATGGAGTGGGGGGCACCACTTAGTGGACATCATCCTGCAAGGACAGTCCACTGGCATCAGCTGCAGAGGCCCCAGGAAGGCTAAGTGGCTCTTGTGCTAATGTCTCCGTGAGTGTCATTGTGTGTCCGTGTGAGTATAAGAGACTTTCTGCACATCTGGGGAAACGAAAGAGACATGTTCGTGTAACGTGGGAGCATTGTCTGTGGGAGGTTTGGGGGAGAACACAGAAACGTGGGCTGTCGAATGGGAGTGGAGGGCCAGAGAGAGGAGTGGACACCTGGCAGGAAGAGGGTGCTCCGGGGAGGGGACACTGCAAGGGGAAGAGAGGCCCAGATGTTGCTCTTGGAGAGGGGGTGAGGGAGAAACAGGCCCCATGCTGGGTGGGGAGGGAGTGATAAGCCAGAGTGGAAATGGGGACCATGGCCAAGCAGCCTGAGACCAGCTAGTGCTGGGGGCCCATCTCCCAATGAGAGATGGGCAGAGGGACCCCATGGGGGTCCCCAGAGTTGCATATTTAATATAGTTTGCATATATGGTGCCCACCTGCCTTAGGGCAAGGTCCTGTGCTTGTGGGTACCTGTGAGGGCACCTTGGGCCCGCCCCTAAGGGGGCGGGGACTTGGCGGGAGGGCTTCCCTGCTCTGTCCGAAGGGCGGGGCCGAGACACCTCACCTTGCATAGCTGGAAGCTGGTTCAAGACCCAGAGCCCCAGCGACCCGCTCCCACGCTCCGAGCAGCGCCCCTGCCACGGGCAGGTTGGGCCTTGATGGAACGGGCAGGGCACGGGGGCGGAGGTCGCGGGGCAGCGCCGCTGCTGCCCTCTGTGCGGCCTGGCATCTCACGCTCCTGAGGCGGGGCCCGCAGCCCGCAGCTGGCCCACCGGGGCAGCTCAGCACTGCGCGTGGCCTCTCTCCCCGCGGAGGGGCGGGTTCAAGTAAGAGCGGAGCCCCCAGGCCTGCGGGGGCGGGTCCGAGCGCCAGGCCGCGGGGCCGGCCGGGTGCGTCCCGACGCCGAGAAGCCCCTCAGTCCATGTTGGTGCTGACCGAGCGGGAGATGCTGAGCGTCTGCGCGGAGACGGAGATGTCCTCGTGGTCCACGGGGCTGTGGTAGTCCGAGGTGATGTCGGGGTCCAGCAGCGGCACTTGCACGGTGCCCAGGCTGGCCGAGGTGCCGGAGCGCAGGCACCTCGAGTAGAAGCCCAGAAGCAGGTCCAGCTTGTGCTCGATGGACTGCACCTGGGGGCGGGCGGGCGCGGGGAGGCGGGTCTGGGGAGGAGGGCCGGGCGGACCGGAAGCTGGACCCGGCTTGGAGGAGGGGCTTGGCCCGGGAGGGGCGCGTCTGGAAAGGCGGAGCTCGGAGCAGGGAGCTCGGAGCTGGGAACCTGGGGCTTATCCCTCCGAACAAAATTAAACTGGGTCTGGCAAGCAGGCGGGGTTAAATTTAAAAAATAAGTAAATAAATGAAATTTTAAAAATCTCATCATGGCTCAGTGGTTGCGCATCCACCTATGAACCAAGAGATCCCCAGTTCGATTCCTGGTCAGGGCACATGCCTGGGTTGTGGGCTTGATCCTCAGTGTGAGGCTTGCAAGAAGCAGCCAATCAATGATTCTCTCTCATCATTGATGTTTCTATCTATCTCTCCCTCTTCCTCTCTGCAATCAATAAAAATATATATTTTTAAAAAATTAAGTAGGTGGGACTTAGTTGGGTTTATCTGGGACTATGGGAACCTGGGGCGGGGCTTGGCAGGAGCAGGGGGGGGGGGGAATTCTCGTGGGCGGGCTTACTGGGAGGCAGGGCTTATCTGTGGGGCGAGGGTCCAGCTTTGCGCCTCTCCGGCTGCCTGCCGAGAGGTCAAGGTTGCTGCTCTTGAGAAGCGCACCCTCCCCTTGCGCTTGTCCCCGCGGCGTTCCAGAGCTTCCGGGTGGAGGACTAGCCCTGCCCCAACAGTGAAACGCCCTCTGCGCACTCACCTGCTTCTCCACCTTGACCACGCGGCCCATCATGCTGATCTCATCCGCCGCCTCCGTGTCCGAGGGCCCCTTGTCGCCCTTCTCCCGGGCTTTTCGGTCCCCGGGGCACCTGCCCACAATCTGGTCCACCCTGTGGGGAAAAGGGAGCTGACACACGCCACCCCTCCTTCCCACAGAGCTGGAGGTTTCCTGCTGAAAGGGGAGACACGGCCTGCACTGGGGTCCCTAGGGAGGGAGCCTTGCCACAGGGACTGGCCACTGCTGAGGGTGTTCCACTGAGCTGGGCAAAGGCAGCATGACAAGTAACCCAGCCACCTAGTGGGAGGACAGGTGGGACATGGCCTGGGAAAAGAGGAAGAGACACAGCAGGGATGTGCGTTATAAGGTGGACAATGGCCTCAGCTTATTTTTCTGCTCTCCTTTACAGCGAAATTCCCGAAAGTGCTATCTCTACCCACTATCTCCAATTTCGCTCCTTCCGTCCTAAAGGCTACTCCAGCAGGCTTTCGTTTCCACTACTTCATCAAATCTACGGCTGTCAAAATCCCAAATGACCTCCATGTTGCTAGATTCAATGATCACCTCCCAGTCCTCATTACACTCGCCCTATGGCAGCGCTGGGCACATCTGAGCACGCCTTCTTCCAGTACTTTCTTCGTTTGGGTTCCCAAACACCTCCCGCTCCTGGTTCTCCCACCTCACTGAGTCTCCTTCACGGGCTCCATTATCCCTACAGCCTCTAAATACTGCAGGGCCCCACGTTCACTCCTGGAACCACTTCTGTGCATTTACTCTCATTCTCTGTGACGTCTTCCTTTCCAGATGTTCGTTCCACTACGCACTGTCGACACCAAATCTATATCTCCAGCACCATACCTCTCCTCTGAAACCCACACCCTTCTAACTGCCAGGTCATCACTCCATCTGATGTCTGACAGGCATCACAAACCCAACATGCCCCAATTTTTCTGATCAAAACTTGGCTCCACTCAATGCCTTCCCCATGTCAGCACACAGCTACTTTTCCCTCTTGCTTCAGCCAAAAACCCTGGCTTCATCTTAGCCACCATTTCTCCCCCTCTCGCACACCATCAGAAAACCCTGTCAAAATATATTTAGAATCTAACCATGTCTACCCTTGGTCCAGGTAGGTCCCTATCATCAATTGCCTGGATGTCTAAAGTAGCATCCTCAATGGTCTATCTGCTTCCATCCAAGTTCCCTTTATAAGCCATTCACCACACCTAGGATGATCCTTTTAAATGATGACTCAGATCTCATCAGTCCTTGCTCAAAGCCCTCCAATGTTGCATCTCACTTTGGATGAACACCAACATCTTCACTGTGGCCTACCAGGCTTTGTACAATCTACGTGCCATTAGCCTTCTAATCTCATCTGCCACTTCTCTCTCCTCAGGTACAGTAAGGTTCCTTGCTGTCCCTAGAACAACACTCCAGCCACATGCCCATCTCAAAGCCTTTCTACTCGCTGTTCCCTCAGGAAAACATTTAAACAGCCACAGGGCTGCTTGCCTTGCCTTCAATTTTTTTTCTCAAACATCACCTTCTCTCCTATTTAAAATAGCAAACCCCAGCCGAAACCGGTTTGGCTCAATGTATAGAGCGTCGGCTTGGGGACTGAAAGGTCCCGGGTTCGATTCCGGTCAAGGGCATGTACCTTGGTTGCGGGCATATCCCCAGTAGGGGGTGTGCAAGAGGCAGCTGATCGATGACTCTCTCATCGATGTTTCTAATTCTCTATCTCTCTCCCTTCCTCTCTGTAAAAACTCAATAAAAAATATATTTTTAAAAATAAATAAAATAGCAAACCCCAATACTCTAGCTCCCCTTTTTTCCCCCTGAGCATTTTTAATTGTCTGACATATTCCATCTGTTCTCCTTCCGTTAGAATGAAGGCCCCAGGAGGGCAGGGACTCTGTTTTGCTTTCTACCATATTCCCACTGCCTGGCAAGTAACAGATACCAATGACTATTTCTTGGGAGAACAAATGAATGAACAGGTGGTGACAATTCCGGCCACCGAAGGGCAAAATGTAGGTGATTTGGGGTCTTGGTATGAGAGTTCTTTCTATATGCTGGGTGGAGAGAAGTGCCGGGGAATTCCAAAGGTATGGACCACAGTCCCCTTGGGAGGTGGGAGGTTATTCCTTTAAGCCCATTATTTTATGACCAGGAAACAATCATCTAAAGACGTCTCCTGAAGAATGAGCCAGCGGCAGGTCCTCTGTGAGAACAGGGTTCTCACAGAGGACCTGCCGCTGGCTCATTCTTTGGGTTCAAGACAGGCCAGGGGTCTGGCCTCAGCCCCGAAAAACTCCATCCTCTGTAGCGGCCCCTAGGGGGCACTGGGTCTCCATTCTGGCTTTGGACTTGGGACCTAGCACGGGATCTGGGGCCAAGGCCTCCCGGCCCCACTCCAGGGTTGGGAGCAGGCGCACCCACCGGGTCTGCAGGCTCTTGATCCGACCCAGCATGTCCAGGTGCCCTGCTGAGTACTGCTCTATGACGTCCTTCACGTCGTACGGTCGCAGCGTCTCCTTGAATTTCCGTTTGGCCACCAGGAACTTCAGGATCCTGTGGGAGCGAGGAGGGGGGAAGGGGAAGAGTGTCTCATAGGGAATTCTTTTCCAGCCGGGTCACCATCCCTTTGCTGCCTCTTTGCTGCCTCCTTGTCCAGTACCCAAGCTCCTTCTGCTCGGACCCCGGCAAATAGCCTCTGCTGAGTCTCGCAGCCTCCTTCCCTACCCACCATGCCCTGGGACCCATAGTTTGGTATTCTTGAAAGTGCCTAAATGTGCAGTCACATTTGCTCCCTGCTAGGTGTGACACCACTTTCGCTGATGACAGCTTGGACAAAGACATATATAAATATAATTGATTTCAAAGAGGAAGGGAGACAAAGAGAGAGATCGAAACATCAATGACGAGAATCACTGATCGGCTGCCTCCTGCATGCCCCCTACTGAGGACGAAGCCCGCAATCTTGGCATGTGCCCCTGCCTGGAATCAAACCCGGGACCCTTTAGTCCGCAGGCTGACGCTCTATCCACTGAGCCAAACTAGCTAGGGCTGGACAAAGACATTTTTGGCACCCCTCAGCAAATGCTTGTTAGCACAGCAGTGCTGGACCCTGGGCACCCAAAAGGGTGTCAGACCCAATTGCTGGCTTCAGGAGTCCTGGTCTGAGGGGGGCACCAGAGGACATAAACAATTATGGGCTGACAGGGGCCGTCAGGAACAGAGAAAGAGGCTGGGGGCCATGACAAGGGAGGCATTGGCTGGTGCGTCAGAGGACAAGTTTTGGGAGGGGGACGGAGGGAAGTTTTGTGGACATAGGCAGGCAGGACCCTGTGTAAGTGAGTCAGGTCAAAGCAGCCGAAACAAGTTGGGAAGGAAAGGGAGGTGGGGTGGGGAATAGGCGAAGACAGAAAGGGATTGACCTTGAGATAAAGGCTGAGGAGGGTACTCCGCAGAGCCCCGGATCCCTGGCAGAGATTGGGCAATGGGAAGTTGGGTGGTGGGGAACGGTCTATTCTGCCAGCCTTGGAGGGAACCTGGGAACCTGGGGCTTATTCCCCCAAAAGAAATTTAGGCAGGAACGCCAGCTCCAAGGGACATGCCTGAGCCAGAAGGGGGCAGTGGGGTGAGATATGGGACAGCTGTAAGCAATTCAGGACTGAAAGACTCCTAAGTCTGAGTTGATTTCACCAAGTTGACTCCCGTGGCTGAAATGGAGACCAGGAAGAACGGGTTTGGGGCATGCTGGGGGGAAGGAGTCTGTGGGGTGGCCAAGGAGAGTTGGCCTGGGCCGTGGCAGCTCAGGCGCTGTTTTCTGGAAGCCGGTCACTTGGAGGGGAGAGATGGGATGTGGAAAAAGAGGGTGAGAAGAGAACGTAGGTTCTCGGGGGTTGGGCAGGAATCCAGCTGACTCTGGTTTTTTAAGAAACCCAAAGGGAAGAGGCTTGTGGGCAGGTGCATCAGCCAGGGAAGAGGAGTGCGTCTGGAAGGACTGGGGGTGAAGGCATCTCTGGGACTCAGGCTGGAGACAGAGACCACGCCAAGGAGCTGGGGGGCCAGATCCATGTGGGGCCGGGACTGAAGGGCAGGAGATCTGGCCCCCCCTTAAGTGTGGAGGCAAGGAGACAGCCAGGAGAGTCAGCAGGGCAGGGGTTTTTCAAACTTTCTGTCCTAGACCTACCATAAGGAAACCAGTACACATATACACATAGGCACATAACTAAAAACACACGTGCCATACATAGTTTTTATCCTCACTAATAGGACGTGCACTGATACTTTCTATTCTTTTTTTTCTTCTTCTTCTTCTTCTTTTTTTTTTTTTTTAAAGCTGCCCATGCCCCACTAAGTTGATTTCACTAAGTTGACTTCAAATTGCTGTGACCTGTGCTTTGAAAACCATTGCTCAGCCCTGGGGGAACGGACAGGGTGAAGTCAAGACACAAGGAGAGAGAGACAGTCTGAGACACAGGTGGAGGGAAAGAGCATATACGACAGACACAGATGCTGATGCATGCTGGGAAGAGAGAAGTAAAGAGAAAAGAGCCTGACATAAAACGAGCAAGAAGCTGGGGAGAGGAGCAAAGAGGACGCTGCGGGTGTGAGGAGAACGACCATGATGGGCAGCCGGGCCAGCCGCCCCACCCAGCCAGCCCTCCCATCACAAGAGAATGCGGAAACCCTGCTGGGAGCCATATGCCACCTCCGCACCCACCCACACAAGGGTGCCAGGCGGGCAGCAGCTGGTGTGCCCGGGATCTAGGCCAGGCCTGGCCATGAGGGCAGGCCCCAGATGGGGAGCAGCCATGGGTGGCAGATGAATGGGGGGAGGACCCACCTTGAGCCTAAGTCTCACCTGACAGAGCGGATGACCGTCTTCACCGCAGGCATGACGTCATCCACCGTGAGCTCACACTGATAGCTCTTCTCCTCTGCCACTTCCTCGGAGGGGCCCTCTGGAAAGAAGGGGACCCAGGTGGTGGCAGCCCTTTCACCACATGCCAAATTATACTAAGAAGTATTGGCAGGAAGACCAAGGCCCAGAAAGGGCCCAGAACCTTCCTGGGGGCACAAGGCAGACCAGATTCCAGCTTCCCTCAATGCCCGGCCCAGGGTGGAAACCCCCAGTTCTTTGCACGGCATCTTCCTGTGGCCGGACAGGGTGAACACTTACTGAGCTGGTGGCCAGGTGGAAGCATCCGGTCTGGCCTGGGGCGAATGGCACAGAGCCCTAGAGGAAGCCCCACTAGTTCCATCACCCAGGCTGGGGAGTCCCAAAGCAAAGGGGCTTTGGCCTCTGCACACAGTCATGCACACAGTCTTATCCTTCAGCCAAGAGGGAAGGAAGTCAAGGGGCTGGCTCCCCTGCCCGGCTCTGCCCCTGGGAAAGGCCCCTAAAGCAAGGCATTTCCTTCCGGATGAGAGAAATGGCTTTTCCAAGGCTGCTGTCCTGCACTGCACAGAGGGGGGGGATGCCATCCTGGGCCCTCAGGGCACAAGGTGGTAGGAGGCCAGGTATGTTCTTGGGCATGGAAAGGAGGCCCCCCCGGCACCAGCCTTGCCCAGACTCTATTGGGCCAGTACCTCCCAAAGGCTGGTTTGTGTGGATCCAGCAAAGACCTCTCCGAGCTGTCTGCCAGCAGCGCATTAGGGGCTGACCCAGCACAGACAGAGGCAGCATTCCCTCCCTCCAAGGTCAAAGGGGCTTCCTGTCCCCAGCCTCCGTCCTGGTTCACCCACCCCCTCCTTTTCGCACCCAGGGGTCTGAAGCATGTCAGAGCTGGGAAAACTCTTCCGGGGAACTCGGTCCAGCCCTCTCGCTGTCCAGAGGAGGACATTGGGTCACAGAAAGGGGCAGTATGTTGCCTAAGTCACAGTGCAAGTCAGGAGCAGAGCTAGGACTCAAAAAAGAGACCTTTCTGGTTAAAACGTGACCCCACCAGGATCATCGCCTGGGGTCTCTGGCTGGGCTGGGTGAAGAGGGGCAGGATGAGGAGCCTGGGCTATGGAGGGGACAGACCTGGTTGGGGTTGATAGCTCTGCCACTGACTAGCTGAGAGAGCTCAGCCTCCAGGTCTGTGAAATGGGGCCACACACAGACCCTACTTCCCAGAGCGGTTGGGAGAAGCAAAGCAGAGAATCCACTGTGGGACTGGACACAGTCCCGGCTCAGCAAGTATGGACGCCTGCTCCTTCCAACGCACATTTGTACTGCAGTTAGACTAGCTTCTGATGAGCGCTTACTATATTCCAAAGATCCTTCTGTTCACCTCCCGTGGATAAGCTCCTTTAATCCTCACCATAATCTTAGGAAGTAGATACTATGATCATCCCCATTTTGGAGAAGACGAGAATGAGTCCTAGAGAGTCATTCTAGGTCTTTACTCAAGTCAAATGGTAAAGCCAGGACTCAAACGCAGGGAGCCTGGCTCCAAAGCCTGTGCCTTTAACCACGACCATATGCCACCCTCTGCATCCTCGCCTGACTCTCAGTCTGGAGCCCTGCACCGCAGGTATCACGACGCCCACTTTCCAGACCACAAGGAGCCCAGCGATGGTCCATCAGGTGCAGAGCCAGGACTGAAACCAAGTCTTTCCACCCCCGGCTCGGACTCTGTCCCCACCCTGCCTCCCTCAGCAGGTCCGGGGCCCCCGGCCCCCAGGGCTCACCCTCAGCAGAAGAGCGGGGTTTGAGTCTCAGAGAGGCCCGGAAGCGGGTGCGGTCATTGAAGCTCCAGCTCTTCTGGACCTTGGTGGGGCTGGTGGCCTCACCCACCTGCTCGCTGCTTGGGGATGTGGCCATCGACGGCGGTGCCAGGTGCTGCTTGGAGGGGCCCGTCCGCCGCTGGGAGCTGCCGATGCGGATGCGGTCTTTGATGCCCATTCGGCTGCTGGCAGGGCAAGTGGGGTCGGGGAGAGAGCCAAGTTAGCTGGAGCCGGGGTGGGCATGAGTAGAGACAGAGCTGACTTAGGACTTGGGGATGGCTGTTGGGTATGGTTCTCCACCAAGTGGAGACTTCCTAGGATGGGACAAGGGTGTGGCGAGGGGGGCCCTGACTGGGGCCCTGACTCCCAGTCGATCTGAGCAGATCCTCCCCTCCTACCCAAGTCCCACCCCTCAGTGCCCAGACAGATAAGGGGTGCACAGGAGACAGATGTCAGAGTGGAGGGAGTGATAGAACCCAAGAAGGAAGTCAAAGACGGACAGGAGGACAGGGGAGCTGGCCTGGCCCAGATGGGTGGGTGGGTGGAGGTGATGACCAGCCTGGGCAGACCGGCTGTTAAACGATGGAGAAGCTCGCCTGGTCACGCTCACCAAGGTGAGCCTCCAGCCCCTCACTGTACCTAGGAGCAGGCTATGGGTACACATGTATCAGTGTGTGTACAAATGTTGGTGTGTGTGTGTACACGTGTCCATTTATATTTCCTCCTTTCCCCTCTTGTGGGACTCTCTAATTCCATACTGGTCAAGTCAGGGCTTTAGGACTTGTCCAGTTGTACAGGTAACACTGCAAAGTTTCCGAGGTCTCCCCCGCACAGACTCCAGTGTAAGTGTGCCTGAGGGTCTTGGCCCTGCTTAGCTGCTGGGCCCACATGTATGCCCAGGACACATAGGGTGTCTGCCCTCCCGGGGAAGGTTTGTAACATGTTCTCCTGAGGTCTCCCCTGTTTGAACTCTGCCCACCTGGGCTGATAACCTACCCATGTGGTCATGGATCCCCCCCTCCACAGCCCTACCCATCGCCTGTTCACTAAGCCCTCAGAGAACAGCACCTACACACGTCTGTGCTCATGTGAGCACACACACACATGTCTGCATGTACTCAAATGTCCCTTTTCACATCTCAGTTCCCCACCACATCCCCAAGCCATGGAGGAAGGCAGGGTGGGGAGGCTCAGGTTCCCCAGATCAGGTCCTGAATGGATAACCATTACCTGGTAGAGTAACTCTGTGTCCAAGAGGTTCAAGGACCATGTCATCGCTGTTGGAACAGGACCTATGCAAACGTCCCCCATCCCATGCCCTATGGCTGCCTCCCTGCTGTGCTTTGCCACTTGGAGGGCCCCTGGCAGATGGGTCTGAGGGCCCTTCTGCCCAAAATGTCTAGGGCCCTGGCTCAGAGAGCATCAGCCAGTCTCAGAGGAGCCTGAGGTGGCTCAGGAGTTGGGGAACAAGACTGTGTCACCTACTTTCCAATCAAGGGGACAGCAGAGAATAGATTCTGGTTTCAGGGTTGGGTGGAAGCCGGGGCCCCCCATGTCCAGGACATGGGGTCTAAGGTACAGAGACAAGGTACTGCAGTAAGGGAGATCTTGAAACCAGAGGCAACTGCGGGAAGGCAGCCAGGATACAGAGCCATCCTTCAAGGTTGGGGGCCTCTGCCCAGAGGGGAGAGGTTATAGGTCAAGGGTTTGGGCCCTGAAATCAGAAGTGAAGGACAGGGATAGCCCCCGCAATCTAGCATGCCGTTTTCTGGCCCAGAATCCCCTCAACACATCCCAAAAATTCCAACCAAAGTTTGAGGTTGGCTCTCCCAAACTTTCCTCTGCAGAGCCATTCCTTCGAGCTCTCCTCATGCTGGCAAGCACCCCCACACCCGCCCGGCCCGTGCAACCCCTCCTCCTGTCCTCCACTCCTCCAATGGGGAGAGGAAGAGAGGGAGCTGGAGAAGACCCTGACACTCAGCCAAGGTCCTGGAACTCCAGATCTCTGCACCCAACACATCACTCCAGTGGTATTCTGGGGGAAGGGGAGACCTCCCTGTCATGACAAGTATGCAAGCCAGACCGCTTGCACTCAGCAGGACTTATCCAGGGAAGGTCTGGGGGCTTGTACTAGAGGCCTTGAAAGGTCCCTTTCCAGCTCTGATTCTGTGACGGTTGGTGAGTTGTGGGTTCTGTAACTTTCCAGCGAGCCAGAGGCCCTGGGCTCTTCTTTGATGTAAGAAGGCTGTTTCCCCAGGGGGGGCTGGATTCCAGCTCCTTGGACAGGGCCCAGAAAATGGCTCCTGTGAGCCTCTCTGGAGCCTAAAAGCTCAAAGAAAATGGAAAGAAACCTGGCACACGGTGGACATGGAAAGAGCTCCTTCCTTTCCCAGGCTCCTTCGAACACGCAAGGTCCTGTCTCACTGCCTCAGCCCTCCAGCTCTCAGCCACTTCGTGTGGTGGGTTCCGTATTTTCCATCCCTGTTTTACAGATGCAGAGGGAGGTGAAATGGCTTGCCCAGGATGGCAGAGCTCCTTGGATGGAGCAAGGACTGGAACCCAGTCTTCTCTGGCTATCCACACTGTGTTCTTTCTCTGGGACAAGCAGTCACCCACACTGGGGGAATTTTGCTCGCTAGGGGACACTTGGCAATGTCTGAGACATGTCTGGTTGTCACCCTGGGGTGTGCTCCTGGCACCTACTGAGTAGAGGACAGGGATGCTGCTAAATATCCAATGATGCATGTGGTAGCTCCTGACAACAAAGAATGATTGGACCCAAAATGCCAATGTTGCTGAAATCAAGAAACTACGTGATCTACGTGATCTGTTGGTGACTGGGAGATGGACGGGGTGGGCTTGACTAGGGCTGTCCTGTTGGGGGAGGGAGTGGGCAAGCTCTGAGCACAGGTTGCCCTCTGACTGACTTGGTCCCAACCCCTATACTTACTTCCACAAGGGATTTCTTTAAGGATTCACCATTTGCCTGCCCAAGGCCAAGGTCATGGGGAAAGAGAGGCAGCCTACTCTTTCTGGTGCTGCAAACAGCACCTCTTTTCAGCCTTCCCACTGGCCCATCTGCCTTGGGCTTGCCCTTCCTGACTCTCATGCCCACATGGCCAAAGTCATCTTGAAAAGGGGCAGATCTGGAGACTCTCAGCTTAACCCTTCTGTGTGTACCTTCTTCCTACAGCTGTGGTTTCCCAATTCTTTTTTAAAACAAGTAAGGTCTTGACTGTTCAACACGCCAAATCAAATGAGACCAATATCCATGTAGCACTTCCTGTAAGCCAGGAAGTTTGTGCAGAAGTAGATCCTATTATCATCCACAGTTTACATCTGAGGAAACGGAGGCACAGAGGGCTTATGTCCAAGGTCCCTGAGCGAGTGAGTGGCAGCCAGGCTCAGTCCTAGAATCCATGTTTCTAAGAAACACGACCTCTAGCTCTGGCACTCACCTCCTACTCATGGGCCCCCAGTCCACACGGCTCCAGAGGCACTTTGGGGAAACCCAGGACACCGTGAGACCAAGCTGCCAGGCAGTGCCAAGAGGATGAGGCCCACACTGGGCTTTGGGGTTCTTCATCACCCTGCTCTGCCCCCAACCCTCAGCTCCTGACCTCCCCTCTCAGATCTGGCCACACTGAGCTACCTGGTCCTTTGCCATAGCTGTGCTCTCTCTCGCCTCCTCATCTCCTTGGCCTATGGTGCCCTCCCTCACACCCACTGTTTTGGACCTCCTGGGGGTGAAGTGCCTGAGCCAAGGCTCCACAGGCCCTCTGCTTCCTCTTTTGCTACACTGATCACACCGATTAGCAATTATTATTAGCAATTAATATTAGCAATTACTCTGGAACTTTCCAGGCACCATATTTTATTTATCACAGTGTCCCTAGGGCGGGCCTGGCATGGGGCAGCTACCATGGAATGTGGCGGTGATGTGGCTAAAAGAGCTGGGCTCTGGAGTGAGAAAGGGAGGTGCCGATCCCACTCCCTCAGGCATCTGCTAGGTCCCTTCGTGGGCAGTGGGGAAGCTAAACCCCAGTCAGAGTGGGAGGGACCCTCAGAGAGCCTCTAGTTCAATGTGCCCGTTCCACAGAGGGGAAACCGAGGTCCAGAGAAGAAAAGCAATTTGGCCAAGATCACACAAGGGGTCAGCAGCAGAGCCAGCACTCATCCCAAGCCTCCTGTAAGTGTCCCTCCTGGCGGACTGGGCACCAGGCCCATGCCCCAAGACTTGGCAGAGGCATCCCCAGGAAGGCGAGGGGCTCATCGGGGCCCCAAGACAGATGGCAGGCGGCAGGCACATGCACCTTGTCCTTGGCCCATCCTGTTCCCCTCTTCAGCCCCCAAACGGGGTGGGGCAAGGAGGAGCAGGGACAGGAGGAGCAGGTAAGGGGTACCTCGGTCTCCAGCTGGCGTGGATCCGAAAGAAACTCCGTTTATTACTAAACATCTGGCTGGAAAGTTGAGAACAAGACACAAACAGAGGTTAGTGGGACGGAGACAGGTGGGCTGAGCACGGGAACTGCCAGGATGGGGCCAGCCTCCTGCTGCGGGTGAGAGAAGGCCCCCGGGCCCAGACATCCTCTGGCCCACATTCCCAGACGTTCTGGAGCTTTGCATGAGGATCTCCTGGGAGCAGGTTAAATATGCAGAACCTGTGTCTGTCCTCCAGAGGTTCTCCTCCTGGGGACCTGGGCAGAGATCCAGCTGTCTGCATTTTCAACAAATACCCCACCGGATGCTGATGCAAGAGGTCAGTGGACCAGGCTTTGAGAAACCCTGCTTTTGCACCTTATCACGTGGCCCCAAAGAGAGGAGGCTCTGGCCCTAACGATAGGTGCCCCAGGAAGGCCCGCTTCTGTGGTCCTGGCCATGTGCGTGGCCTGTCCACCCACAGACAGCACGGAGAGCATTCAGGTGTGTGTATGTGTATGGGTGTGCTCCCACCTGGAGCACCGCCCCCCATGGGTCCCAGACAGCCAAGATTAAGGATACATGAGGCCATTTAGCCTGAGGCTGGTGCCTAACTGCCTAGAAGTCACAGCTCAGCTCCGGGGGGGGGGGGGGGGGTCCCTTGGGTGAAGGAACACCCCACCACCAGCACCACGAGTCCCAGCCTTGCAGATACTCCAGGGCAGACAGACCTAAGGCTTGGAGTTAGTGACAGCCAAGCACTCACTAATAATCTGTTCCTAGGCCTTGGGGGGCCTTTGAGACCCAGAGCGGCTGTGAGGGGGGCACAGGTGCTGCTCATAATCTCCATCCCCAGAGCCTTCCTATTTCGATAAGGTGAGGCCAGAGTGCACTGAAAGCTAACCCTGGCTTAGCAGGGCAGGGTTGCATCAATGCCAAAATCTTGTGAGTTTCTGCCTGGAGGCCAGGGAAATAAGGATAGTCCTTAGGCCTTGACAGAGGATTTGAACGATGTGCCAGCCTGGCCTGGCCCCAACCTCCAGCCCCAGTCTTGGAGGGCTGGCTCTGCCCCTCTGTCACTCTCCGTTAAGCACCTCCCCCAAAGTGTCCTTACTCAGCACAGGGAAGAAATGCTGCTCCTAACGTCCCCTGCACTAAAACCACTTCCTCCAGGTTCCCCAAGCTTTTCTGCCCAGAAACCAAGAGAACCAAGAGCTCCTTATCAGCTAAAACATCGCTGACTTTCTGCCCAGGACCAAGAGGCTCAGAGAGACTTGATGGCCTTCTCAAGGACACACAGCATCAGGGGGCGTAGGCAAACTTGCACCGCACTTCCTCCATCTGACCACAGAGTGTTCACCTCTTCTCCCCTCCCTTGTTCTGGGCCACAGGCTCAGCACCATACCTGAGGCTCAAGGCCCAGATGCCCGGCTGGCTGACGCAGGGATGATGTGTGAAGATGAGACAAAACAAAGAGATGGGGAGAGGACAGGTGAGGAATGAGGGGGGATTGAATCCATGACCTCATAGCTATAATATGTTTCCACGGGAGCAGCCACTTGCCCATACTGTGAGTTAGGGGGCTTCCTTTATCCAAATAGGCTTGAAAATCCACTATTATGAACATTTATGTGCGTGCATGGGGCTGGTGGGCCACAAACATTATCTCTTTGTTCTTTCAAGATGCAAAAGCTCCAGGCAAGTCAGGTCAAGGGGTAGGAGACTGCTGGCAGCAGCAATCTGTCCCTCAGAAAAGAAGAAAGGCATTGTGGGAGAATCCCAGGAGGATCCTCCGGGATTAGCAAAGCTGTGGACAAGGGTTACACAAGACGAGAGCATTAGTCACTGGTTGAGTTTACGTAGGTCCTACAGCGGTTCTTAGTCACAGAGCTTTCTTCCCAGCTGGCGTCCTGTTCCCGAGAGGCGAGTTCAGTGTCAAGCGCTTTCTAGAGGAACATGCTGGGGGAGGGGCCCCTGCCCCCACACCCGGGACGGTGCCCACGATTACCTGAGCCGTAAGCACCTGTGGCCAGCGGCCTCCTCCTCTCTCCAGCTTCCCGGGAGGGATGGGGGTGCAGGGATGGAAGAGTGGGGGGAAGGGGGGGAGCGTGGAAACAGAGAAAGAAAGAGGACAACGGAATGAATGGAGGAGGTGACAGGAAAGGACGGTGGGGACAGATCCCCCACGCTCCCACATGACAAAAAAAAAGGCGAGTCCAGCCTGGCCCCTCCGGAGAGGCTCTCGGTCTGTATCTGTCAGGCTGTCCGACAACTGCCCAGGCCTCGTGACAGGGCCCCGGAGTCCCCAGAACAGGCCCAGAGAACCATGTAGCGGCTGGACACAAGTCTGAGAGAGGATGAGACAGAGAATGGGAGAGGAGGAGAAGCAAGAGGAGGCGGTGGCCCCAGAGGGCCCCTACCTTTCCCCAGGGCAGAAGGAGGCGCTGCCCGGCCGGTGGCAGGTGGCAACGGGCGGGTAACGGGAGGGCGCTCCGTCGGGTACTGGCGCCCGCCGCACCTCCAGGGGCCGTAGGCCCCCATTGCGGGCCCGTTGCACGTGCTCAAACAAGAGGGCCAGCTCTCTGCAGGAGAGGGTGCCGTCAGCGGCAGGCAGAGCCCTGGCACCACCCCTCACCCGGTGGGCACTGAGCTCCTGAGCTCACAGCCAGCCGGGCCCTGCCTCTCTCCAGGGCTCAGCAAACAGGCCAGGCCAGAGCAGGCAGGGTCCGGTGTGGGCGAGAGTAGCCTCCCTCCCTCCCTCCCTCCCTCTCTCTCTACGCTCCGTTCCTGGGAAGTCCTCGGGGATGCCAAGTATGGTTGTACAGGCTGGGCACACTCCAGAGCACCCTCACCAGGGGGCAAGTGGGAGCTCAAGTGCAGCTTACTCTGCTCGTCAAGCTGTGCCCAGGGATCTGGAGCTGTGCCTACCCGGAGGCCAGCGGCAGCCCTGAAATCCTCAGCCTCCAGAGCTGACTCCGAATTTCAGGGGGAAACTAAGGCTGAAGAGGGATGCGTGACAGGGTGGCTAGCCAGCTCCTTCCCCTGAAGCTCTGGGTTATTGGAGACCAGATTCAGGCTCAGCTTCTTCATAATTCTCCAGGCATTGCCCGTTTTCGTAACCCAAGGAAGACATCTCCCCCTTTCTGCCTTCCCGCTGTATAGATGAAGAAACTGTGGTCCCAGGCGTAGGAGACCTAGTCGACTCAGAATCTCCAAGCCGAGCTCAGTTCCTCTCACCAGAGGACCCGAGACCACCCCAACCCAAAATCTTCCTCCGCCCCCTGCTCCACACACATCATATTTCTAACAACCAGCCCCTGCGCCATTCCCCAGGGCCTGGCCTTGGGTCCTTATGGCTCCTCCTAAACTAACGACCCTCCAGGTCTCTGAGGCGGGAGCTTGCCCCTGCCAGGTGGAGAGATGGGGAAACCAGTGTGATTCTGGGAGCTCCCCTTCCCAGCCCCTCTTCTCCTGCTCCTCCCCTGGGGCGGGAGGAAGTAGGGAGGGAGGCAGCCAGGTGTAGGGATGAGTGGGATCATGCAACAGCTGCTCTTGGAGAACTAATGAGGCAAAAAAAAAAAAAAAAAAAAAGGCGCCAGCAGAAGCGCTGAGCACAGCAGCCTGGCCGGCCTTGACGCCTGCCTGCCCGCGGGACCAAGCTGTGCTCCATGGTCTTCATGCCCACCTAAGGGCTGGGCCGGGCACCTGGCCACACAAACCTTGTTGATGCCAACCTGCATGGAGCCACCCTGTGGAATCTTCCCCCAACCTGGGTCAGCAGGTGAACTCACTTCTGGGCCCTAAAGCTGCTGCCTCTACAGTAAAAGTAGGTACCTATTCGCACACAGAGGTACTATGTGGGCCCTGGCACCCAACTCCAGCATGCCCTTTCAGGCCCATCCCATACTCTCTCAATCCATTGCAATACATCAAGCTGGCAAGGGCTAACCCTGCCCCCAACTCAAACCAAGGGGAGATGAGCTGGCTGTGCGACTACCCTGGGTGGCATCGACTCTGGGGAAGCATGCAGACTGCCAGCACTCCAGGGCTCAGGGTTCATCCAGAGGGGCAGGCAGGGCCACTCCACACCCTGTGCTCAGTGCCCACAGTCTTCCCAGGGCACAGAGAGCGGGAGAGAAGACACTCCAGGCTCCGAGGAAGGCAGGATCTGCAGAGCCAGCCCAGAGGCTCCCTTGGGAGCCACCATCCCTTTCCCACCCTCCGGGGCTGAATCCCAGCCGTTCGTCCTCACGGGCCATCGCTGGCAGCCCCCTGCCCGCCTTCCCCCTGCCCCGGGGCCTACCTGAAGGACGGGAGAATACTGTCATAGTAGTACCAGGTGGCCGTCAGGTAAGCCCGGTTCCTGTCAGTGGAGTACAGGCGCCATGCAGCCTGGTGGTATGAGGGCAGGGAAACGGGAGACAAGGCATCAGTGCCCCCTCTCCGCCCCCCCACCCCCCAGCCCTCTGCCCCTGAGACAACCCAGGCCTGGGCCAGCAGAAGGGCACGCAGAACCATAAGCCAGTTTCAATTCCACAGCCACCAGCAGGGCCAGCCAAAGGAATGGTGGCCTAGAGAGAGACAACTTTCCCAAGGTGATAAGCAGATCAGCCTCAAGGCCAGGAACCTTGGAGTACAGCAGCTAAGAGCTGGGGTTCTGTCATCAGGTAGACGGGTCTCCGATCCTAGCTGTGCCTCTTATGGGCAAGTTAAGTAAAGCTGCAGAGCCTCAGTTACCCTATCTGTAAAATGGGCGTAACACCACTTATCTAACTGAGTGTTGTGAGGATCCAATAGGTGAGTGTATGTGATATGTAAGGGTAGTACTTGGCATACAGTTGGCAGTCAATGCCAAGTTCCCCTGTTAAACCCTCCTGTTATCTCCCTTACTACCACTGAGAGCTATCTATTCATTGTGTGTTTGACTAGTGTCTTTCTCTCCTCCTAGGGTGTAAGCTGTGTTTGGATCACCACTTCAGCCTCTGGCACATGGTGAGTATTCCGCAAATGTTCAAGGAATGAATGCTGACTGAGTGAATCATTATTACTAACAACAGCCCCGCCCCCTCTCTCCGGCTGCCTGTCACTGCCCAAGGGTTGAGGAGGGGAAGACAGAGCATCACCTCCCTCAGCATTCGCGGACTCGCAGGGTTTCCTTGCAGCAGGAGGAGTGAGGGTCAGACAAGAGGAAGGAGAGGAGCCGGGAGGGCCTGAGCGGGGCGAGCAGTGAGGGCAGGGAGGCGTGGGAGCTGTGACCCAGGACAAAGGAGAACCGGCCCTGGAGGCCCCTCCCCCTTTCTGGGTGCCTGCTGTCCTTAAGGGACTGCCCACGATGAACTCACCAGCGGGCACCCTCCCAGGACAGGAATATTTTTACTTCCTGCTTGCCTAGGCCCCTGGCGTAGGGTGGGGAGCAGCTGCCAGACTGTCTCATTAATTATGGGCACCACAATGCCAGCTGTCTCTCGGCCTGGAAGTGCCAGCTGCCTGCCCCTCCAATGCCCCTCCAAAGGCCAGCTCCCAGGGGACAGTGTCCATTGTGCCCCAGGGGACACAGAAAAGGAAAGCCTAGGCTGGTGGCTGGGAGATAGCGGGATGGGGAGCGGAATTCCACCCTGGGGAGGAGAGATAAGGCGGGGGGAGTCAACTTTGGGGAGTGTGTGTGGTGGGGGGGGAAGGTCAGAGAGTGGCATGCTGGAGAGGACGCCGATGTGGGCTGTGCCTACATTCCCCGCAGGGTGTCTCTTACTCACACACTTGACCAGGGAGAAGCCAAGGCTGAGTCACCGAGTCACCCAACTCACAGCCCTTGTCTCAGCCCCATCAGAACGCCTCAGCTCAGGGCGGACGCTGAGGCCGCACGCCGCTAGGTTCACCCCTCTCTTCTGGCTGCTGCTCTGTCTCCTTGGCTCGCTCAGGTTTGCCTGCCCGGCTGGCAATGCTGAGGCTCCAGAAAGCCCAGTTCTGGGCCATCTTCTCTGCTCCCCCTTTACCCACGAGGTGAGCTCATCCAGGCCCAGGGCTTCGTTCCGTCTACATGCAACAGCTGTCCACTGCTGCCCCGCCCACTTCTCTCCTCTCAGAGGCACCTTCCAGCTGCCTGCCTGCTCAACATCAGAGTTGAGTGTGGCTCTTCCACAAAATGCCATGGCCTGGGCAAGTCTATTTTGAAGAAGTGGCATTAGGAGAAGTTTAAGTTTTAAAAAATTGGCTCTCAAAAGCAATTTCTATCCTTGTACTGTTGATATTTGGCTCTGTTGACTAATGAGTTTGCCAACCAGGACTCCAGGCCAACTCACATTCCTCAGGCTCCACATCTGCTCCCACTCCAGAGAGCAGGGCCATCAACCACCCAGCTGAGCAAACCTGGAGGTGTCACCCCACCTGGAAGTCATCCTGCCACCTCCCTCGCCCTCATTCCTGATGTCCCTATTTTCACCTCCTAAATCTGCAGGATCTGCCCATTTCTTTCCATTTCACCTATTTCACGTCACCCAGCAACCCGCCTCACCCAGACTGCCGCCAGAGTCTCTTTTCTAGTCTCCCACACCTACCCGAGTCGCAGTCCCATCCATTCACCACTTTTCAAAACACAAATCTGATCATGTCACCTGCTCCCCTCCTTCAGACCTGCCCACATGGCTCTTAGGAAAAAGCTACAATCCTCCCTACGGCCCCGTGTCTGGGCCTGGCCCACCTATCCACTACCCACTCCTCCCTCAGCTTTCTGTTTCGGCCCTGCTAGCTTTCTTCAAGTTCGTCAAACCCACCCGGACCTTTGCACATGCTGTCTCCTTACCCCGAGTCTACCCCCTTCACCTCTTCGCCAGTTAACACCTACCCATCATCCAGCTCTCAGCTCAAGTATCATTTTCCTCGGGTAGTCTTGCCTGGTTCCCCCTTCAAGGTCCCCTGTTAAAAGCTCATCAGAGACCCATTTCTTTCTTTCAAGACATCGATCTCAGTTTGTGGTTACAATATTCATTCGTGTGAGTTCTTGTAAAATGAATTAATGAAGTGGAACAAGCAGCACTGCTGATGGGTGTCTCTACCAAGCCCCGAGGGCCTCTCAGCCAGGCTGCCTTCCACTTCAGGCCACGCAGCGTTGGGACCGGAGTCGGCCAGTGGGGCAGCTCTGGCTAATCCTAAACTGGGCACTTGGTACAGAGGGACATTTTCGACAACCTGAGTCAGCATCCCGGCTCTGTTCCTGCCTTGGCATGTGACCCAGAAAAGTCACATTTCCTCCCTGAGCTTCAAAGCGGAGTCACAGTTGTGCAGCCGGGACACAGGAGTCAGCACACCGTGTTGACACGCCAATTCAGCTCAGGGGCTTCCTAGGCACCCGGTACCTGAATGAGGTTGGCTGCTGGCATCCTCCGCTTCTCAAAGTGCTTCTGCCGATGCTGCTCCTGCACCTTCAGAGCAAAGCCAGAGCCCAGGATGCCCTAGGAGAAAGGCATGGTTGGGGGGGACGTGGGAGTGGGGGCAACAAAAGGCAGCCTCTGCCCATCGGAGACGCAGGCTTTGCCCCCAGGACCCCTTCCCCAGACTGGGCGATCCTCGGCAGAGAAGGACTCACGGCAGGCAAGGCAAAGAAGGAGATGCCCAGTAAGGCGAAGCCGGCAGCCAGGACCCTGCCCAGCCACGTGTGAGGCGTCTTGTCACCATAGCCGATGGTTGTCAGGGTGATCTGGGGAAACAAATAGGTTGCCCACAGGGCTGGTCACCGTGGCCACCCACAAGAAGTTGTTGGGGGCACACAGAGATGAAGGCCTGATCGTGAGGGAAGGGTCCCCATGGTTGCCCACCAGGGGCTAGTCAGAAGGACTTGTCACGGGGATTGGCTAGGGGCACAGACAAGTCCGGCCCCACCCCCACCCCCCAGCCCCATGCAGGGATACGGGCCACAGGGCTTGGCATCTGGGATTAGATTCAGGGCACCAGCAGGTCCACTGGGGCAAATTAGGGAGCTAGCATACAGACTGATCATAGCGGTCCCAGCTGTAGCAGAGAGAACAGGGACAGGTCCGCCCAACCCCGAATGGGAGGCCACCAAAGTCAGAGGGGAAGGCGGCCTCACACAGACCCTCACGTACCGTGCCCCACCAAAGCGAGTCGGCGTAGGAGGAGAAGTCTGAGTTGGCATCCTTCTCGGCCAGATAGACCAGGAAGGAGGCGAAGATGAGCACCAGGAACCCGATGTACCAGGCGGTGATCAGCTCCTGCGGGAGCAACAGGTGAGACCACAGGTGGGGCCGAGGCGGAAAGGCTGGGGAAGTGGTGGGCGCTGAGCCCATCTGGGAAAGGTGGGAGGCCCCAGAATGGTCCCTGAGTGGTGTTGGGAAGGGGATAAAAGCATCCCACTCTTTGCCGTTCCCAGGCGGCTTTCTCTGCCCCTCCCATGGGGAAGCTCTGCCCCTCCTTCCCACGGCCGCCCCCGCCCTTGACCATCAGGTTCCACGCTCAGATCTCCTCCCCAGACCCACCTTGCCCCGCCCCCAAACTCCACTTTCCGGCTTCGATCTGGCCCCGCATCTAGCCTCGCCCCATCCCACCCTCGAACTCGCCCCAGCTCCCCACTTCGCTGTGCACGTAGACCCTGCAACCAGAAGTTTCTAAATGAGACCCTCAAGCCCTTCCCCTCAGGCCCTGCCTCCTAGCCTGGCCAAGCCTCCTGGACCATCCCTGGTCCAGCCAGGCCCCGCCTTGTCCCGCCCATTGGCGGTGGGTCAGGACTTCCAGGTCCCACCCGCCACGCCTCCCTCCTGGCTCCACTCCGGACCCGCCCCCTGCCATGGCCCCGCCCTCCTGCCATGGCCCCGCCCCGCCCCCGCCCCCGCCGCACCTTGCTGTGCGCCATGACCACGGAGCCCAGCAGCTTCCAGGTGCCGCCGCGGCGGTCCATGCGCACCATGCGCAGGATCTGCAGGAAGCGCATGCTGCGCAGCGCGGACGTGGCGAAGATGTTGCCCTGCGTGCCCGCGGCGATGACGGCCACCGAGGCCACGAACACGATGAAGTCTGCGGGGGCGGGGATGGTGCGGTCACGGCCACCGCCAACAACCCAACCCACCCGCGCCAGAAACCCGAGGTTGGGGATTCCTGAGACTGTGTGTGTGTGTGTGTGTGTGTGGAAGGGGTGGGGGGTCCCTTGAGTCTATGCCAGCAGCCAGGGGTCTGGGTCAGATATGGGGTCAGGGTGTCAACCCTGGGGCTTGGGGGTCACAGGTCAGGTAAAGGGGTAGGGGTGGGGGTGGGGAGCAGGCCTTATTACCTATGACACAGAAGGGTTTTCTGGCAAAGCGGAAGCGGCCCTGCCATCCTCGGTAGCGGCAGCAGCATCCCGCCGACCAGACACGGATGATGTACTCCAGGCCAAACACCACGATCATCACAAATTCCTGTGGGGCCAGGGGCCTGAGCTCTCCCCAGTCTCCAGCCCTGAAACAGCCTGGAGTCCCTGGGTTAGGGGTGCTAGGATTTCCTCAGCCCACTTCTCCTGGAGGTTCTTACACCTGGGTGAGCCGAGGAGGATTCTCCAAGGCAGGTGGCCCCTTCCAAAGAGACTGAAATCCAAGTCTGTCCTCTCTGCCCCCACGAGCTGTCAGGGGTTTTCTCCTCGCCCCACCTTCCCACTCCTAGTCATCCCAGACTCTAAAGCAGGCTCAGTGACAAAAAGGGTGGCTGTCTGTCAGCGGTCCCCTCCAAGATGTTTCTGTCTGAGGGTGGTGTTAGCACTTTGGGTCCTGAGAAGGAGTGGGACCTACTCACCTCCTCTCAGCCCATCCTAAGCCCTGGCATAGAGGCAGGAGGACCCCAACTCCTATAAAGCAGGAGGTGAAACCCAGAGATGGACAGCCACCAGCTCAGGGCACACAGCACAGCAAGCCACGCTCTGAGCCGCAGTGTAAGAGGCCTCTCTCCGATACGGCCTCCCTCAGACAGGGACTCTGGCACTCACCAGGATGAGGAGACACTCATTGGCAAGTTCCTGGTGCTCCTGGATAGTGGACAGCACGGACAACACCAGGCAGGTGAACACCAGCAAAAATCTGCAAAGGCAGCACGAAGGGAAGGGTTAGACTGCTGGGCGGGCAGAACGGCCAAGGAGCCTCGGCGGGGGGGCTGTGGAGTCAGAGGAAGAGGGAAGCATTGTTCGAGAAGCTTGTCTGCAGAGCAGGCTGAGGGTTCGAAATCGGAGTGCCCCGGAATCCTGGCTTGTACTGAAGGGAGAAGGGAGAAGCCCCCACGCCCTTGATGCAGGCTGCAGCTCAGAGAGGTGGTCACTCAGCTCTGAGAGGCAGGTTGATCTGGACTGGCCCAGGGTCCCACCGTCAGGAGCACCTCCAGGCTCAGCCATTCACAACCTCAGCCCCTGGCTCAGAGGCTGTCTTGAGAGAAGAGCTCCAGAGATTGGAGGAGGGGAAAGGGAAGGCCAGCAGCTGAGGGAGGGAGGGACCCCCATTCCCTCTGACACCTGAGGTGGCAGAAGCATGGCTTCCTCTGCAGAACGGGGTCAACTGCTTCTACCTTTGTGAGCACCGAAGAAATTACATAATCTGGTAGTTATGGAAGGAAAGGGACTAGCGTAGAGGTGTCGAACTCAATCAGAGAAGGGGCCAAAATCTAAAATCCAGCCTAAATCGTGGGCCGAATGGTTTACTGAACAGTCATAAACTGTCATTGTGATGGAAACGCAGCGGAGTGCAGTGATGACAGCGCGGTGCGGGCCACATTGCAAGGCCTGGCGGGACGGATTTGGCCCACGGGCCTTGTGTTTGACACATGTGGACTAGAGTGAACAGGTAGAGAGAGAAAATACAGAGAGCAGAGAGGGAGAGGGTGTGAAGGGAATCAGGCATCAAGGAGCCATGAGGTGGAGGCCTGGAACACACACCCCCCCCACCCCCCCCTGAAGGAAGTGGGAAGCGACTCGGGCTCAGAACCAGATGTTTGATGAGGAAGGAACTTTAGAACCCAACTCTCCCACCACTCCCCAGCCCCAATTTCACACAAAAGGGAACTGAGGCCCAGCGAACAAACTGAGGCCAAAGGTTGCTCAGTGTGTCCAGGACGAGGTTAGAACCAGGTTTCTAATGTTTCGGTGGATGGGCAGAAGGGAAAGGGCATGAGGAGGGAGCTGGTGGCCCCCGGAGGCGGCAGGATGAGGGCCAGGGCTGCAGATGCAGCAACAGGGAACGCTGGACTCCTGGAAGCTCTTCTTTTGGGGATGGGGTGGAAGGGGAGGAGGGAGTGGTTACAGGACATGCATGTGACCTGGAAGATACACCTGAGGGAATGGACTTCTCTGGAAACACATCCCCTGTGAATTGACCCACAACCCTCCCCCAAATGTTCCCAGAGTCTCCCCACCCAGGTCTGCTGATGCTGCATTCTGCCTCAAATACCTCACCATGGTAGCCTGCTGAGACTGCTCCCTTCCCCCACACAACTCCCGCGGCTCCCAGGAGCCCTCTGGATGCACACCCGCCTTTCCCCCTCCCCCCCCTCTTCTCCTCTGCAATGCTGGTCTCCCTGTATGGGGCCCAAATCACTTTCAACATAGCTTTGTGTTCATGTTTCATGGTGACAGGGGCATGGGCTAGGGAATCAGAGAGATCTGGGTTCGATTCCAGTCCTGCCAGGTGTGTGGCCCTGGGGAACTCACCCACCTTCCTGAGACAGTCTCCTCATCTGTAAAGCAGGGACTGACAGGACAAAAACATGGAAAGGGTATGGCTATACCCTGACCCACTTACACCTCCTTGGATAGGGGCTTCGGGCCTGCTTGGAGGGCACGTATAGGGCTGCGTCCCAGCACATGCCCCTGGGTGGAGGAGGTAGGTGGCAGATGTCAATAAAGAGTTTTGAATGAATGAGGGAGGAGGAGGCCTCCTTGGCCAGTTCCAGACAAGAGCCAAGTCAGCGAAGACATAAGGCACGGTGCTCTCCCGCACCGCCTCCTCCTGTTCAATAATTAACCACTGAAAACACAGCAGCCACATCCACTGGGAAGAGAGACTGTCTCTGACACAGAGAAGAGGGTCCTCCCTGAGGTCTTCTCATCCAGCCCCCTCATCTGGGAAGGGCTGCAGCCAAATCTTGATGGGCCTTTACCCCACTGCTGGACAGTAATCCCTCAGTCCCATTGCTCAGCCACTCTAGAGGCTGCCTACTAGGTGTTTCAAAAAAATTTTTTTCTTTCAATGCCAATAGGTACCCTTCTATAAATGTCCACTTCACGACAGGTTAATTTTAAAAAGTAGCTTATAGAACCTTAAGGGCAGTGTAATCAAAATTTTTAACATGCAGATGTCTTTTATATACTGTACTAGAGGCCTGGTGCATGAATTCATGCACAAATGGGGTCTGGCTGGCTCAGCCCAATTGGGGCTGATTGGGGCCTGGCCAGCATAGGGCACAGTGGAGTGTGGGAGGTCAACCAGCTGGCCTTGCCCCTGTATTGGGGGTGGAAGGGCAAATTGGAGGGGGGGGGGGGGCAGGCAGCTGGCTGGCCATGGGGAGGGGAGGGGAGGCAGGTGGTTTGGCTGGCCAGCGGGGCGGGGGCCTGACTGTAGCTGCAATACACATCAAAGCATCTGGTTGTTCCATTGTTCTGGTCGCTTAGCTTATATATATATATATACTAGAGGCCCCTTGCAGGAAGATTCCTGCAATAGGGCTTCCTGCTTCGGTTTCCGCTGCCCCATCTGCTTCCCTCCCTTCTCTGAAGCTCTTTCGGCTTCTCTCCCTTTTCCCTGCCCTGCCTGCTTCCCTTTCTTCTCTGCCTTCCCGCTTGCTTACTTCCTTCTCCACAGCTTCACTTCCTTGGTTTCTTTCTACGCTGTCTTCAGTCTATGCTAGGGGTGTCGAACTCAATCAGAGAAGGGGCCAATATCTAAAATCCAGCCTAAATCGCGGGCTGAATGGTTTACTGAACAGTCATAAACTGTCATTGTGATGGAAACGCAGCGGAGTGCAGTGATGACAGCGTGGTGCGGGCCACATTGCAAGGCCTGGCGGGACGGATTTGGCCCGCGGGCCTTGTGTTTGACACATGTGGCTATGCTCTGGCTGGATATGTAAATTAACCACCATCTTGGTTGGATTAATTTGCATACTCGCCCTGATTGGCTGGTAGGCGTGGCTTGTGGGTGTAGCAAAGGCCTGGTCAATTTGCATGTTTCTCTTTTATTAAAGAGAATATATATATATCAGTAGGAGTTACCTCTGGGTGGCAAAGTTAAGAGTGACTTGGTTTTTGCTTCTCTGCATTTCCTAATATTTTTTTAGAATAAACATGGGTATTCTCTTGCCTATGTAACTTGTCTCCTGAGCCCATTTCCTCTACAACTCACTTCTACCTCTATGACTTTCTAAATAAACTTTCTCTCACGGTTTGAGTCTTGGCTCTAAATTATTTCTTAGCCTGAACTCAAGCACGGAGGTCCAGTCTGATTCCTTCAGTTTAACACCTGGTGCCATTTCACCGTCAACACATGCACTTGGGGAATTCACATAAGCATGAAAATTCCAAAGACATAGAACAAAATGAGGTATAAATGTCATTCAGCACTAAGCAGGGAGAAGTAATCCACAGGGAGACGAAAGAGTTATCATTTAGTACATTGAGCCATCCTGAAACAATAGGTCACAAAAAGGACTTTGACCAAAGAGTCTTTCTAGGCTCTTCCTGTCAATTTCACCTAATATTTTAGATATTAAGTACAGTAACTCATCTAGGATGATGGCTCCCCTCCCGGACCAAGTCCATTGTCTAAATTCCTTTTATGCAATAAGGTCAAAAGGTTCTTCCTGAGCCTTCTGGGCTTTTAACGTTTTTAGCTTGAAAGCACCTGTATGCTAGAGTAGCACATCTTGGAATGACTCATCTGTACCCCACACTTACAATGTAAACAACTCTATCAAGTTTTGAATTAATGTCAACTCAAAAACTGACAGTGTTCTAGCCGTTAAATATTAACATTGTGGACCCAGAGAAGAAACGTTCATTTGATGTGAACCCTGAGAAGGAATTTATCTGCTGGAATGGACTTCTCATGGTCAATGGAGGGCCAAAATTTCATAAATAAGAGCCTAGCAGGGATTTGCTGACAGGAACTCGTTACATGCAAGGAAGGAAGGAAGGAAGGAAGGAAGGAAGGAAGGAAGGAAGGAAGGAAGGAAGGAAGGAAGGAAGAAAGGGAGGGAGGGAGGGAGGGAGGGAGGAAGGAAGGAAAGGAGAGAGGAAGGAAGGGAAAGAAAGAGGTAGTCACAATCTAATATAAATTTAAAATGCATTTCCTTAAAAATACAAATGGTGGAAAACCACTGTGAATCCTCCCCCAGCCCTTTACACAACAGTCTTCGTCATCAAGCAGGTGTGTGTGTTTGGGGGCGGGGGGAGGAGGTGGGCAGGGGGCAGCAGGGGAGCATCTCCCCAGAGTCCAGCTCACATGTCCAACTGCCTATTCAACGTTTCTCCTTGGATGTCTAATGGCCTCCCAAACCAAACGTGTCCAAAAACACACGCTCAGTTTCCCTCAAATCTTGCTCCTCTCCAGTCTCCCCATTTCAATAATGGCACCACCCAGGGGCTCAGGCTGCAGATCTGAGTTAAGCCTTGATTCTCTTTTTCCTCACCCTCCACGTCCTGTCCTTTAGAAATTTCCATGGGCTCTTATCTTCAGAATATATTCTTACGGAGGCCACGGCTCACCACCAGCCATCACCTCCTGGCCCCTGACTGGTCTCCCTGTCTCCACACTGGCCCTATTGTCACCACTCTCTTCCAAGCAGCCAGAGTGATCTTCCTGGGATACAAAGCCAGAAGCCATCATTCTCCTCAAAGCTCTCCACTGACCTCCCCTGGCACTTCAAGGGCGAAGTCCACCCCCTCAGCATGTCCGGCAAGGCCCTCTGAGATCCGGCCTGCAGCCCCACTTCTTCAACTTGATCTCCCCTTTCAACCCTGGATCACTGGGCTCCAGCATTCTGCTGTCCTTGCCCTTCAGGGAACACACAGAATGTACTTCCGCCTCCAGGCTTTGCA